ACCATGTTATTTTGAAACAATATTCCACAAAGAAATAATAACATTATAACAGTTTACCATGTTATTTTGAAACAATATTCCACAAAGAAATAATAACATTATAACAGTTTACCATGTTATTTTGAAACAATATTCCACAAAGAAATAATAACATTATAACAGTTTACTATATTATATTGAAACAATATTCCACAAAGAAATAATAACATTATAACAGTTTATCATGTTATTTTGAAACAATAATTCACATTATATATATTTAGGATATCATTACTTAAGATTCAAGAATATAACAGATTCAACGTATTTTTATAATGTCATAAATAAACAGCATTGAAATCCCAATACGTTAATTTATATTTATTTCCTATGAAAAATCTTTCTATTTGTAGAGATGTTAAAACATGTAGATATATTAACTTACATCTTAAATGTGAGTGCGATTAGTTGATGTTAAACATCACAAACTACAAGCTTATCAAAAAATATTCAACAATTACTCATGCTGTAATTAATAAAATATAATTTGATTTATAGAACACAGTTTTAACAAGATTAAGTTCAAAGAATAGTGTATTAGATTACTGTAAAGTTGTTATTTCTTTTTGAATAATATTGTCGGGTTTGATTATTGTTAGTAGTGTATTAGATTACTGTAAAGTTGTTATTTACTTTTGAATAATATTGTCGGGTTTGATTATTGTTAGTAGTGTATTAGATTACTGTAAAGTTGTTATTTACTTTTGAATAATATTGTCGGGTTTGATTATTGTTAGTAGTGTATTAGATTACTGTAAAGTTGTTATTTACTTTTGAGATATTGTCGGGTTTGATTATTATTAGTAGTGTATTAGATTACTGTAAAGTTGTTATTTACTTTTGAATAATATTGTCGTTTGATTATTGTTAGTCGTGTACTGTTGTTATATCTTTTTGAATGATATTGTCGGGTTTGATTATTTGCAAATTGTTACTAGAAAAATTTGGCCCTTTGATTTTTTTAATCCTGGGAAAAAAAAAATTAAAAAAAAACAAAAACAAAAAGAAAAGGTGAAATATACCTTGCTGAAAATTTCCCTCACTCTGTCCTTATCTACAACATCGATTTTATAAAAGATAACTGCCTTGCCTGTTATTTCCTGAATTCTTTGAATGGCTGGTGGTATTGTTCCATCTCCTGAAAAAAATAAAAATCATAAAAGTAGCGCCACCAGTGACACAGCAGTATGTCTGCGGACTTACAACACTAGAAACCGGGTTTCGATACCCGTGATGGGCACAGCACAGATAGCCCTTTGTGAAGCTTTCTGCGTTAACTACAAACAAACAAAAGTAACAGAGTATTTCTAATCATATTAATTTCTTAACACTTCTCATATAGTTTTTTTGTCAACGAACAAAGTTTCAGGAGTTTCATCAAAAGTGTCAGCACTAAACCCTGCTAGCAATTTATACAATGCAATAATTAATTTGTTTGAATTCAAATAAGATTGTTCATTCGTCTAAATAACACAATCTTCGTTTTTTTTATCATCAGCTAATGAGCTTATTTGTTAGATTCATTTTCTGTTATATTGGTGATAACAAAAATAACATCTGTAAAATAATAATTTCAAATTTAATAATTTTATTATAAAAATATTAAATATAAAAATAGCTATTTTACACTTAATCATTTAGGAGCACCGTCGCTGTGTCTTAGTCGATTTGTCAGCGTTTAGTCGTATTTGTTGCGACCTGAGAGAGAGGGTTAAGAGGTTTTTTTTTTATTCACTAATGAAATCGAATACAGTGTTTTTGGCAGTTTCTATTATGGGTTTATTTTCTGTGTTTGTGTATAAATTTACGGGTATTTTTGGTATGTCTGGGTGCGGTATATTTTGTATTCATTTGACTAGTTGTTATGTCAGATTGTAGTTCTGTGGTTTCTTTCATTTGTGGCTGTGTTTGTTTGAGTGAGATATTTGTTGACTGCGTGGTTGTGGACGTAATGATGCGGCAAGTAGATATGTAGGTGTAGGCTCTGTTGTTGATGTCGGTAGAAGTGGGGTCTCAGTAGCTGATCGGTGTGTGTCGTGTTTGTGCATCAGTTCCTGTGGTTTGGTTATTATGGTGTAGGCTTTGTTGTTGATGTCGGTAGAAGTGGTGTCTCAGTAGCTGATCGGTGTGTGTCGTGTTGTGTATCAGTTCATGTGGTTTGGTTATTATGGTGTAGGCTTTGTTGTTGATGTCGGTAGGAGTGGTGTCTCAGTAGCTGCTCGGTGTGTGTCGTGTTGTGTATCAGTT